AAAAAAAAAAAAAAAAAAAAAAAAAAAAAGATTTAAACTCATATTAAAAAATAAAATGGGGCAAACATTCTATTTCGATAACACATGAATGTCCCAAGTAAGTAGCCAGTAGGAAAATGAGAGAACATTGCTAGAGTGCAGTTTTAAATCTAAAAAATCCTTTTTCTTCTCTAAATTATAATTTGTGTCATTCTTTTCATATACAGCAATAAAAATTTCCAAATTTCCAGGCATCTCACTTGCTTATAATGCAAAGTTAATACATTCCAGTTAAGTATTTCAGTAAAGTAGGAGAAGGATAAAAGAAGAGCACCAGGGAAACTTTTTTTTTTTTTTTTCCAGGTTTGGTTGGTGTTGCTAGTTTGATCTTTCCTTTCTTTTTCTTTTTCTTTTTTTTGAGACGGAGTCTCACTCTGTCCCCAGGCTGGAGTGCAGTGGTGTGATTTCAGCTCACTGCAACCTCTGCCTCCTGGGTTCAAGCGATTCTCCTGCCTCAGCCTACCCAAGTACGTACCTGGGACTACAGGCACTCACCACCACACCCAGTTAATTTTTGTATTTTTAGTAGACACAGGGTTTCACCATGTTGGCCAGGATGGTCTCGATCTCTTGAACTTGTGATCCACCCACCTCAGCCTCCCAAAGTGCTGGGATTACAGGTGTGAGCCACTGAACCCTGCCACTAGTTTGGTTTTTAAAGGCAGTCATTAGAAGCAGGAATTGGTAAGGGAAGATGAGATTATAAATGCAGTGAATAGCTCCGGTTATGGAATTGGCACATGCGGAGCCATTCAAGATGACAAGAAACATTTACAATAAGCTCTGAGCTAGTAACTGAACACATTTCTGGTTGCTGATAAGTGTCAGTCTTCACCGTATGCCGGTATTTCAGTGTGCTGGCCATGGATGGTACATTAAAGTTCCTATGTAAAGAAGTATTTGGTTAGCAAAAACATAAAATATTTAAAAACCTATAGGACATGAACACCATTTAGTTCTTGATAATTGCTTTCAACTTAATATTCTCTTTTTAAAGAAACACCTTCAGTGACACTATGTGTTTCACAGTAGCCATTTCAAGGAGAAATGATTTCAGCAGCCAGTAACTCAATCTTTGAACATCACTCCATAATGAATGTTTCAGAAAAAACAAAGTATTCT